ATTATATAATATACACCTATACTCAATGAAACTAAATAAAATACATCTATATTTAAGCTAATAACTAACTTTGGATAATCCTTAAGAAATTCTGCTCGAAAGAAGTATCCAAACTGACGGACGTTGTAGTGAAATCTCACTGTGGCTAACGACCATTAAGACCTACATATATTTAATAAACAACTTATCAACCGATTGCTTTGTGACAGGTACCTTTGGCGGCATCACCGGCCTATTTATGGGCTGCAGTTTCGTATCTGTGTTCGAGCTGATATTCTTTGTATGTGTGCGACCCACATGTAACTGGCTAACTCGGCAGCAAATACGTTACAGGCGACGTCGTCAGCAACGAACTAATGGCACGAAGGCTAATTAGGACAAGTCTATTAGCCAGCCTTCCCAATACATACAGAGAGCCCATTAAGTCAGTTGCCCGAAGCACCTTCTGCTGGTCAACATGGCCTTCAAGAAGCGACGCATCTTCGATATGCAATTGGTTCAGTCGCAACAGCTGCAGATCAAACTGACCGAGTACCATAAAAGTAACAGCATAAACACCATCGAGAAAACGTCTGAGCACTGGAAAATCTTTCAATTCCGAGAGATACGGATCTGGTTTATGGACAGTTTGCGTAATTTTTGCCAGACTACCTCACTGCACGGCTTCAGCTATATTACACGGCCGGATATCAGCCGAAATGAGCGTTGCTTTTGGCTCGGCGTCGTTATAGCAGCTATCATTAGTGCCATATCTCTGGTGCTCACCTCCTGGTACTCGAATCGTGAGACGCCCACGGTGACTGTCATCGAGAGCTCGCACTTTCCCACCTGGAATATACCCTTTCCAGCGGTAACCATATGCAACTTCAACCGGGTGTCCAAAACGAAAGCATTAATGCTGAAGGAGCACATGTGGGTGACACAGAAGCATCTTTAGCAAAGAATCTAATATATTGTTCCGAAATTCCACAGGCGGTTGCCTCCGAATGTAACCAAAGCGGAGCTACAGGAGCTCTTTAATCTAACTCTGTTGCCCGCCGGCCGCACAATTAACAATAGTTCATTGGAAATCTACGATCAAATATTGAGATTGAATAATATGACGCTCACGGAACTTACGAATCGCCTGTCTCCCGATTGCCTAGACATGATTTCCCGGTGCATTTGGAAGGGAATCAAGACGCGCTGCGAGAGCCTGTTTCAGCGCATCGTCACCATTCAGGGCATCTGCTGCAGCTTCAACTTTTTTGCAACCATGTCCAACAACTTCCCAGTGTAAGTGATTCTAGCAGAGGTACACACATGGGGCCAACTGAATCCTTACAAGTTGTCGGCTGCTGTCTCAGCACAGATCAATAGGTCAAAGATTTAGACACATATAGATTTAAATAAGGAATTAAGGCACTGCCAAGGCTGCCAAATGGCTTTGTGTCATATGGACAACCTTTTAGTAGTTAGTTAAAATACTTTCTGTACCTTTAACCGCAACAACATGTTCCTTTCTATCAGCAAAATTGCCTATCAAGTGCCCAAGCGTCCTTACCGCGTAACTGGATGTGGTTATACGACGGGTCTATCTGTCCTGCTTGATCCAATGGTAGCCGACTATTACGGCACCTTCTTTAGTGGATTTGGCTTTCGTCTGCTAATTCATGATGCCTATAATTTTCCGGACGAGAATTCAGAAACTAAGGTGGTTACATCGACTCGCGAGAGCTTCGTGCGCATCAACCCAGCGTCAACGTATGCCACGAAGGATATTCGTCAGATGGACCTGCGCTGGAGGAACTGCCTCTTTGGCAGCGAGCGCAAGCTGGATGGCCTTAAACGCTATTCCTTCATCAACTGCATGTTCGAATGCAGGATGAAGATGACTCTTCAGCGCTGCGGCTGCCTGCCCGCCTATCTAATCAACAATGGGACCATCAAGATCTGCGGTGTGCTTGATATGAATTGCATGCTCGAAACCAAGCGTGAGTAGGAAAATTGAGCCATATTCGAAGGCTGTCGTCCTGAGTGATTTTCCTAATTTGGAAATTAGGCTTCTTTTCGCGTGCCCTGGCCAATCTAGACGCCCCGTACTCCATCGTACGTAATACGAACGACTTTCCCTGTGATTGTCTGCCTGACTGCGAGTCGAATCAATATGGCTCCGAGAGCACTATGGGCCGGCTGGACGCCAGCTACTCCCGCAACAAAATGGCCAACAGGCAAGATTTCCCCTAAAATATTACTCTTATGGTGAAACTGATTTACTGCATTCAAACTACAGCTCGAATCATACAGATAGCATATTGGTGCACGTCTTTTATAGCGACCTGATGTCCACCAGATATCGTATGGAGATTTTTCAGAACTGGCTTTCAGCATTGGGTAAGCTCTTGTCCATTGATAACCCCCATAGCTATTTAATACACTTTATCCTTTCAGCGTCATTTGGCGGTCTCCTTGGCCTTATTTTAGGTTTCAGCATTGTCACGGCTTTTGAGTTTGTTTACTTTCTCACGTTTCGACCCGTATTCAACTACATCAATCGAGAAAGAGATTAGATCTAGCCTTAGCCTAAGTATCATAATCAAAGTAGTCATAATTAAAGTAGTCATAGTCAAGAATACACAAAATTCAGCAACCTTTATTAGTGGTTAAAGAAAACATCTATTTTATGCAAAGTTGTTGCACAATTTGGTAAAATACTTCGAAATATACCATTCAATGCTTACCGCTATGTTTTCTTTCTTTATTCAAAGTATCCCAACTTCTTGACCTCGCCAACCATGGCGGTAATCGAGTCCAGCACTTCTTCGCTAGCAGGGATGATCTGTTCAGCGGGCAGCTTGAAACCGGTGAGGACCGATGCAGATGAAGGACGCAGCTCATAGCAGAAAGCCATGCGCACACCCTGGGTGCCATAAGCCCAATCAATACTGGCGCCAGCTGCAGGGTAGATGGCATCATAGATGTTGCCACCAGTGTACTTTGTATTGTAGCGCTGGGAGATGGCAGCAATTGAAGCATTAAACACCCGCTGGAAGTCCTCTACATTGTCAGGCAGATCGGCCGTGTGTCCATACGGGTAAAGCAGGTACTGCGAATAGGAATGGAACGAAATATGGAGATGGATCTTGTCCTTTATCGAGGCAATGTAGTTCGACAGCGATAGAGTTTCGATCTCAGAGAATGCGCTAGGTCCAGCGTAGGTATCGGAGCATGGATCGGAGCTTGCACCCACTTCGTTCCAGTGGAAGTCCCAGTTGCGGTTGGGATCAGCGCCGAAACATTTGCCGTAGGGAGTACGAGTCTTGCGCCACATACGATTTGTGGTGTGGGTGTAGACGTAACCATCCGGATTGGCATGGGGGAAGACGTACCAATTGTAATTGTCGGCCAAGTCCTTGACGGAATCCAAGTTTGAGGTTAGGAGCTGATTGATGATGAAGGTGGCAGCAGCGGGAGCGATCCATTCTCGAGCATGAATCCCAGCCTCCAATAATATGCCAGGTTTCTCGCTGAGGCTCTTCGATATTTTGACACCAAGAATCGAACGTCTCTGATAGGTCTTTCCACCCTCAATCAATGTGACAACGTGTGGGTACTTATTTGCCAGGCTAATCATCCAGTTGTATGTATCATCCAGTTCATAGTACTGCGCCCAGTTATAGTCTGAGGTGGCGCGACCCTTGGGTGCCACCTTCTCGTCAATCTCATCCATCGACTTTTGGAAGTCCTTGGACTGAAGTTCATATTTAATCTCAGCTTTGCCCAGAATCTCCAATACATCGGGCACTTTGTGGGGGGCAACAACCATCTGGACATCGGCTCCGACAATGTGAACACCGTCCAAGAACAAAATGGAATCCGATGATCCTTCAAGTTGCTTTAGCACAGCCAGCTGCTCGGCATTTTCTGCATTGGCTTTGTATAGACGGTAGTTGTCAAAGCGGACCCGTTCCGCCCCACTCAATCCAATAGTTGCCAAAAGGCCAAGCAGGGCGAAAAGAAGCGACTTGTTCAGCGACATGGTTGTCGGTGGTATTAGCCATTTAAGGTCGCGTGGTTGCTTTTTATTGACGCTGGAGCTTATAGCGCAACAGGTTGATAAGCGCTGATAAGTCAATTAACTAAGCCATATTTATAGCCCTTGCGATTATAACGTCAATCCTTAGGATCATAAATAAGAGCGTAATCTGTGTCCAAGCCCTTATCAATACTTTCATTACTCTAGTATAAATCACTGCACTTTTTGAAACCCATTTTTGTGGGTTTCGTTCAATTTAGGAGCGTTATCTTTGAATTAATTATCAAGTATGTGGGTTTAATCCGGCACTATTCAGTGACTTGCAGTCTATAAATTGAATACGTGATACAGACGTAACGTATTCAGGTACTTGCGTACGTATTCATTAATGTACCTTTATTTGCTGACTGAAAACTATTGAGATATCTGTTGAAACCTTATCTTTTACACATAAAAAATCAAGCACTATAAGCGCATCCATCCAATTAAAAATCTCGCTTGGAAGCAAGCGATATGGCAGGTCGGAATTCTAAACTATTTAAATATATTTTGAAATATATTCGAAACAAAGAAACAGTTCTGTGTACTACCTAGAAAGTGAAATACATGGCCATTCATCATAAGCTCTTCTTGACATTCATTAATAATTTAAACAGAATTGGCTGACTTCACAAGCTATATAAATCTTATCAATCGAGCCGCCTCGCTTATTAAATTTCCGTTTCATAAGTAATTCTCAAGCATATTAGGTTTGTTATTAAAGGTAGTTTTATTCGGGTGGCCACGAGTTGTCAGTCTTAGAGCAATCTATGCTCACTGGAAATGAGACAAATAAAGAGCAATAATTCCTTTCAAGTCAATAATCCACCTGATACCAATCTATTGACTTTTGTCATAGATATCGATGAACTCACTGAGATTCTCATAGTCCCAATGAATGCACCTGCCACCTGTATATGACCAATAGGAATTTAATGCACAAATATGCTTTTAAAATCTGAGTCCTTTATTGTTGAAATTATTACTTGAAATAGCCCAATTTCTGCACCTGGCCAACCATGGCGGTAATCGAGTCCAATAGCTCCTCGCTGGCGGGAATAATCTGGGAAGCAGGCAACTTAAATCCAGTGACATAAGAGTTGGAAGAAGGACGCAGCTCATAGCAGAAAGCCATGCGCACACCCTGGGTGCCATAAGCCCAATCAACACTGGCGCCAGCTGCAGGGTAGATGGCATCATAGATGTTTCCACCAGTGTACTTTGTATTGTATCGCTGGGAGACAGCAGAGATGGCTGCGTTGAACACTTGTTGGAAATCCTTAACGTTATCGGGCAACGATTTAGTATGGCCATAAGGATAGAGAAGATACTGCGAGTACGCATGGAGCGAGACATAGAGCTGAATCTTGTCTTTGATCGAGGCAATATAGTTCGACAAGGACAAAGTCTCAATCTCAGAGAACGCTTTGGGTCCAGCGTAGGTATCAGAACAGGCGCTGCTGCTGGCGCCCACTTCATTCCAGTGGAAGCCCCAGTTGCGGTTTGGATCGGCGCCGAAGCAGCTACCATAAGGTGTACGGGTCTTACGCCATAGGCGATCCTTGGTGTGAGTGTAGACATAGCCATCGGG